TTGAATAAGTAATCGGTGAATAAAAATACGTTCTCCTTTACAATAGAAATGGATAAAATTCTAGGAAATTATTGACGTGGAATTATTGATAGTGCATTTTAGAATTTGTTCCTTGAAATTTTTTTCCATTTTCTTCGACGATCAAAATACTTATGGTAAGAGGGAATTCATTGTATGCATGGGTACCTGTATTTATAACGATACCATTAAACATAATACAAAATTGCCAGTTTGATCCGATATTATAATACCCAAGGGGAATAAATTCATTTTGCATTATCTTCAGAAATTATAATATCCAATTTAAAAACACATGCTTACATTCAATGTATTTTATGCCCATTATCCGTTCTGATCCAGTTTCCTTCCCGGAGGATAATTGCCGTATTCAGTATGCAGCCCGGCAATTTACAATATTTCTTCTCGTTACATTGTACTCGTTTAAAGGAATCCCTCCCATGAATGAATAAATACAATTTAAAACCGGCGGATCATATTTAATAAAGATACGAAACCGATAAAATTGCAGCGCAGCGTTATTCGAGGGTACGATAAAAATGATTACCATCACGCGATTGTAATTTTTCAAAAATCCAGGATCGTTCCAAGTTCGTTTTCTGATCGAAAAGATGTGAGCATACACTATGCAATCAAAGAAAAGTTCAATAGATTCTGAAACACTAAAACATCAAGTTGATTAGATCAATAAAATTTCGTATTTTATATTTTACACTTATAAAATCGACAAAAAGCTTTAAAAAACTTTTCTTGACTTACTACATTTAAACCTTCTTTAGATCATTTTTTATTCAATCGCACATTCATCTTTTGAACATTCTTAGGTTTATTTAATCTCTTTTGATCTCGTTGAATTTTTCTTCTGTCATGGTTATTATTGAATTTAAGATAAATACAAGAAAATAGTTATTACTATATATTTTTATATTTTTTCAGTAATATTCCAAATGTTCAAATAAATGAGGAACCACAATATATTTAATTGTTCTGTCATGACACGCTGAGTTTCTTATATATTCTGACAATAGCTCCATTTCATTAGCAACTTTTCTCAACCTACGTGTCACTGGACATTGTCAAAAATCATAACATTGGGAAATGAGAAAAATATGCTAAACTCAGTAAAGATTGTATTGTTTAACTGTATTCTCATTTTAAATACTATGTTGTCAATATGTCTATAAAAACCTTAGTCCGAGGACTTTTAAGCGCACCGTGTATGCTTCTGCCCGCGGTGCTCAGAGTTGCACGTCACGCAAACAAACCACCGGCGATTTTTTGCGCGTTGTAAATCACCGGTCGGTTCGGCTCGGACTCTGCTTTCTCGATTTTTCCCACGTGGGAGCTTAATCCCCCGTGTTAATCATGAGAAATCGCGGTGCGTGCACCTATACCTGTTTCCTATAACGCCACTGTGAGGGACGCACGGTTCAACGCTTCCCCCTACGGCCGCGCTTATGGTTTTTAATGCCGAGATGACAAATACGCTGTATTTAGCGATATTTATGCGAGCGGATCACGTCAGCTTCCGCTGACTGGACTCCGCGGATTATCTTGTCCCTGAGAAATATCGCTTTCGCCGTTTGTCGCTACATAACATGCCGTAACGTTCTGTCGGGTAATATTAAGTTACTTAAAGAACTTGGACATTGAGAAAAAAGGGGAGAAGGATTCGCCGTGAAGGGTTGCAGGGAAAGAAGCTTTTGATACATTTGAAATCGGATGGGTAGTTTGTTCGAATGAAATGTGAGCTTCCTTTCTTGAGGGGTTGACTTATTTGTCGTGTACATCGAACCACCCAACAGTTTGGGATTATTCCTTACATTTAGATTTTATCTTCTATCAAGAATGTGACAACATTAACACGTTGAATGCTGCACGATGTCACGTAGCAAGGTACACAAAATGAAAAAATTTAATATTAAATTATTTCATTGAATAGTTTTATTACTATTCTACGTTTATCTTGCCAAATGTGATTGCAATAGGTAGCATTATTTATAATATAAAAATTTTTGCAAATAGTCATCGTTTAATTGACTGAATTATAGTAATTCGATTTGATCGGTGGTTACCGATGACACCCATTGCATTCAACGTGTTAATACGAATAACTTTGTGCCTTTTTAATAGATAAAAATGTGTGACTTGTGTCTAATTTTAATAAATCAACTTTTCCTTCCTATGATCATGAACTTGTATAAAAAGGGTCCCTAGATTTGATTATTTATTACTAACCAGTCGCAATATTTTGTTCACTTGGACATCAGTTCCACCAATTATTAAATTGTGAAACTACATAATTTATTATTACCGTATTGTTTATTGTTGCGAATAGTATATATTGAATTCTTCCTTGCATTGATAACACTTTATTCGCCATTATAATATTCTACAATTAAATCATGAAAACAGAAAACATGCATTACTTGGCCAACCACAAACTCCTCGAAATAACCGAAAACATTCAGAACTCAGTATCCAGTACCCAGCATTCTGACATCCCTATTCCGCTGGTCTGCAGAAAGAATGTTAAAACGTCACCCTCGGCAGTGCCCATTGTTTATACCGCGGTCCGTTCCGTCACCCTTATCTCGGATTCTCGCGTAAAAAACGAGAAAGAAACAATGGGTCGTGGGAGATGATAAAAACTCTAACGACGAAATCACGTTAAAGCTCCAAATTAGGAAGGACCGTTCGGGTAATGGGATTCCGGGGATGGCCGGGTTCCCCGAAGTAGGCGTTTTTTCGCCGGAATCGCGGACATTTTTACGAGGATTAGAGGGACAGAGGGATACACAGTGGCGCGGTAGCGGATTTTATCTTGGTGGAAATCGACGGACCGGCCGCGGCTACGTGGTAGCCGCTTCCTACACCCACAAACGAGCGTGCGCGCGCGCGCGTGTACGTTAGAAGCGGGTCCGGTTTCTCGTGTTACCGTTTCGTGATGCTGCCGGCTGCCCGGCAGCCGCATAATACGCGTATAACTTATGCTTGGCCTGCAGAACGGACGTCGCAACCTTGTGCAAGTGCTCTCGCTCTCTTTCGCTCTCTCCTTCGTGCCCTTCGTGAAAAGAAATATCGAAAATCGTGCACGCTTGTAGCTTTAACGAACCTCGTGACGGACCTCGTTTCGGCGAATGTTTTAAATTTGGATTTGAAAGCGATATTCCAAATGTAAAATGTATTGTAATATCGGGGGTGAGTGTATTTAGAATTTGGAAAGTTTGTGGGTTATGGGGGGATGTGACACTGTCTGGGAATTTAAGGTCTGTTTTCTAACATTGTATTTGTTGAGTCTTAAGATTTTATTTGTGTATTTTATATAAAATTTTTAATTATATATTTAGTCATATAATAACAACTTTTTGGGGATTTTCTGAACACCCGTTATGTGGAAGATTACTATATTTAATATATAAATGTTATATGTACAGAAATAAATATAAATTTCAAGTAAGTATTTGTATAGTAAAATGAAACTTGACATTATCTTCTAACACAGTTTTCTAAAATTCAGTGAATCCTTAAGGGGATGAAGTATGGTGTTGAACGTTTCGTTCGAATTTTTATCTAAATTATATTGTATACGAGCTTCCATGTTTCGGAAATGTGTTAGTGGAATCTCCATACTAGTGTGGCTCGGTGTTAGGCGAATGGCCATCGGTTAGAAAGGGTCTCACGGTAGAATGTAAATTAATAGCGGCGCGATAAAGCTTGTGGAAATCCTGAATGAAAGAACCATTAGAATGATACGGGTAAGATCGCCCAATAAAACATAAGTGGGACGCAACAGCAATTTATTTTCCTTGATTTTCTGACGCGTGTGCGTGGGGACATTCTTCGCGCACGTGTAACGAGCACTCCGATAAAATGGTTTAACACTCGTTATATAGTTTATCGGCACCAGAGGCGCTGCTTATCGTCGTTAAACGAAATCATTGGGCATCATTTAGATGCGTTCCATCAAACCCACTCCAGAAATTTATGCAGACGAATCTAAACGTTTCATTAGAGACGCGCGTACCAAAGTACTTACATGAATAAACATGGTACTTATCAGAAAATTCCTCCAATATAAAAGTATTTTCTCGTTCAATCTTAGAATGTATATGTTATATTAAAATCTAGTATCGATACTCAATATTCAATGCACAAGAAGAATACATTCAATGTTCCATTCACTTAATAACAAAACGAATTTCTAAATAAATAATACCCGGCTATAACCAAACTACTCCGTTACCTAATTGTTATTAAAACATTCTTTCCACTGAACAATCCCAACAATTTTCAAACGCTTTCAGTTTATTTCCAATATCGCAGCAGACTTACAGAATCACTACCCATAAAATAAGATTTATTGCACTTAAACAATACTTATATACATCTTTTAAAATGAATAAAATTATTCTACAAAACTATTCATCGTCGAGATTCAGCAGTAACACTGAATATATTACTGAAAGGACTAAATCACTATTCCCGGTGTAACTATAAAATCCACATCACTACAAATCTTTCATTTCCTTCTCACTTGATATTTCAAATATCCAAAACATTTCCCTTAAACAACTCTACCTTCACAATTCTCCAATATCGACAACAGAATCATCCCAAATATCTTGAAACCCTATCCATCTCCAAAAGACACTCGGTTCTGTTTCCCATCGTTCCCATTAACGCGTACCTGTTCTACTCGTACGGTCGATTTACCCGAGCAAATCCGCGACCCTAATTTATACAGCTTGCATATCCCGCGGGTACACGCGACATCGTTCAGCCGGGCCCCAGCGCGCAGTGTCGCGCGCTCGAAATACCGGGGCCCGGTTGAATCCATTACCGCCACGTACACGCCGACCAGCCTTTTACAGACGGTGAATGCTCTCGGCTGCCGGTGTGTATATAGTATACGGGGCACTGTTTAAACGCCGGGGGCATAATAAATAGCGGGTCAGGTACGGTGACAGGACAATCCTTACCTACAACGACCACGTGGCCGAAGACCTGATCGTTGGCCACGTGGGAACAGTTCCACCGGTGATGTCTGAACTGATGCCGGCACTCGCGGAGCCCGAGCTCCGTGCCCTCGCCCACCGCGGGCATCGCGTGCGGCGCTTTCCTGCACTGCTCCCGTTGACTCTTCGCCAGCCCAGGAATACGGCCGCAAACCGCTGCGCCGACCACCACCGCTCCGACCACCCTGTAACCGAAAACAGACATTATTTTTCATTTGCATTTATATGTAGTAGAATAGACCGAGCCAAATCGTACTAGTTTAGATTTAACAGCGAACAATTAATAGTTATAACTTAGAATGAAAATGTTTTGTTGCGAATTTGTTATTAATACACATTCAGTTTTGATATCAGTAAAAAAAATTATTAAAAAACTATTATAAGTTTATAGTAACTTAGAACAACATTGTTTCTAAGAATTTCAAAGTGAATACGATAAATGAACAAAATACAATATAATAATCTAAAGTATATTAAATATTGAATTTAAACACCTTACAGACTAATGATAACTACCCTATATTCATTAATCTCTTGACACACATTAGACGGCTTCTCGTGCGTTCTGAAAATATTTAACCCCTTAGCTACTATATGTCACTATACATAGTGTTGGCCATGCTCACAGGTGAGCTTTTCACATCCCTAGAGTACTCTCATATCGGAATCACAGGTTTGATGTTGTTTTGCCGTATTTCCAAATCCACACCTGCGAAAGGAGGTGTCCGGTGTAAGTAGGTGTTGCACCGGATTCGGCTTGGAAAAACCTTGCCCTCGTTTTCTTGCGGAAAAGTCATTGGACAAGTTGGATATGTATATGTCACTATAGTGGATTTTGGGGATGTCATATCTCCAAAGGATACGTCACTTTAGTAGCTATGCACATAACGCAACTGCACAGTGGATAACTCCGCCAGTATCAATTCGCAGTACTGCATTTATTATGCAGTCAATAATATCCGCATACAATATTAACACTAGATTTACAGAATCCGTCAGTTTGACGGATATTGAATTTTTTAAATATTATTTCGTAACAAATTAAGTCGATTTTGATTGATGCAATTTTGCGAATACACTATAATTAGTGTACACATATAATTCTCACATATAATTCTCTGTTCTTGAAACAATAATTTCCGCGATCTATGTTAACAAACTTGTGTGTAGTCCTTTAGAAACGATAGAATAAGATATAGTGTTAATCCTTTACCTATGCCAGGACTATTTGCGAAGCTACCTATCTCTGTACGGCAAGGTTTTCACGGTCTACGTATCATAAATGTAGCTCTACGATTTGAGATTGATAGAATTTTCCACTGTGTAATTACGTTAGATTCGTCTATAATGTGCACAGTTATCGACGACAGATATGTACTATAGTGGCGTACCGTTCAAAAAGATAATATACATGGAAGCCACTATAGTGGTGTAAAAGGTTAATGAAAGAGTAGCTTGAACATTTTAGATAAACTAGTATAGTGAAACAAATAAATCACATATAACTTGGTGTTCACAGAAGGTAGATCCTGACGTCAATGTCTAGAATGAAGTATAAACCAAATGACATCTCTCAAACATCACATGCCAAGGGGTGGAATCAGACGTTACATAGACAATAAAAATGTTCGTGGTTTTAAAATCATTAGCATAAGCATATACTTCTTCATTTGAAACATTTTCTAATTCCATCTTGCCTCCCGTAACAGCATCAAACATTCAATCTCCACGTAGTTTATCATTCCACGCGGCCCTCTGCGTAGAAAGCCCGCAGACCCAAAATTAATTCCAGCATAACGAATAGTTTTATCCGAAACTCGATATATCACGATACGCCAGATATTTATCCCGTGATCCGTCGAATCCCCAGATCAACCAATCCCAAAACGTTAAATCAATTTCGTATAAATTACTGGGCCAGCCCCGCGTGTCCTGCGAACGGAATCACGCTAACGGGACACCGTTTAGCGTCCCCCGGGTGCCCGGCATTGAGAGATCCAGAATCCAACGACCGGTAGTGGGCCCACCTGATCGTACCACGAATTAAATCTCGATAAATTCGAACGTGTGAAAGTACGAAACGAGCGTGTCGACGAGAGGAGTCATCCCGACCGGAGAAGCCGTTCATTAGCATTTTAAGTTCCTCCGTTTCGTTGTCGTCGTATTAATTCGATTTCGGTGGTGTGTTATACTTCAGCCGTATACGCGACGTTGTCCGCGGCAGGAAATTAACGATGCTGTGATCCTCTTCTTCCACGGTGTAGCTAGCACAGGTGTCTCCCTTCCTCTCTCTCCCCGTCCCCTTTTCCTCTTTTCCATCGCGGACGTTTTGTTGCGTTTCTGCGTAGCCGCAGAAACTCGCAGATTCTCCCGGCATACTTCCAGCAATTACTGTCCGGTATGATTCATCGTGTTGCTCGAAGAGGACTTCTTGAAAAATGTGAAAGCCCGCGGTTTTTGATGCAACGATTCGATGTAACCGCCTGCCGCTGTACGCGCTTTCGCGACTGATGATATACAGCGGCCGGGCAAAACTTCTTTAGGATTGCGTCTGATGCAATTACCGCGGTGAGGAAACATTCCCACGTGGCCATGCCATTTTTCCTACGCACAGTTTCGTTTTATGCCGGCTTTCAATGAGAAGATGATCTTGTTTTATGGCGCACCCCTCCCCTGGTCGAAGCTGAAGTTGCGAATGAAATGTTGCAACGTGTATACTCGCGAATGTTGAAGTAGCATGTTGAGGATTTTATATACTGTAATTCAACTGTTTATATTTCTGCTAATTCGGAATTCTCGAGGTTTGTGTAAAATGGAAACTTTATTGGATACCGTTGAAGTCGGTGTTTCATATTTTATAGAAATAATTGCGATTTTCTTGTATAATACTAAATGTTAATCGACATTACTTATTTACGAATATACGTTCTGTATTTTTCATTTTTCTAATTCTCTTTTCAGTCTTCTAGGCGTAGATCATTTAATTAAATACTTTACGATAATTCTTCTATACGGTATGCTTCTAATTTTCTCTTTAGTCTTCTAATAATTTAACTTATAGCTTCGATTTTAGAGGAACGAGTTGTAAATGATATTCAACATGAATTAACATTACTTATTTTCCAACGTAGTTTCCTCATATTTTGTTCTTCCAATTCTTTACTGAATTTTGTAATCATTGAACGTACAATTTTGGTTTTGAAGAAACGAGTTCTGTAACGAGGTCAATTTGAAGATTATTTCCGTCAGATTTGTCTGGCTCGGCACGAATCCGTTACCCGCGGGGTCTGACAGCAGTGGTTTTTTTCGGGTGGGCGATCCGGTGAACTTAATCTAATCTAATTTAACCGATCGTCGAACCGGCGTGTTCACTTTGTATTATATAATCCGTGCTCGAACCCCGGACGCGCGCGTTCTCGCATTAAAAAATTTCTTGGCCATCCGTCATCCCGATCCTTATTTCGACATCTTCACGAGCAACCTGCGGGACGCGATCACGGCATACTAAAAACGATTACCTGCCGACAAGTTGAAACGTGATACCCTCAGCCTCCTACTGGTCCATTGCGTAATTTACATCCCATAAGTCAACCTCTGAGAGGAGAGGTAACCGGCGATTCCAGAAACCGTGGATACACGCACACGAATTTTTTGTTCTTCATTCTGAGCGACGTACCCTTTTCGATGATACTTTGAATCTCACAAAATACGAGTTATCAGATCCAGTATGTCAGATTTTAAATATCAATATTGTTTATCCATCACGTTCGATAGCATAACATGATACTTGGAAATTCACCCCCTGAATTTAATAAACATAAATATTTCTCGGTTCACGTTATCCAGAAGGAGTTACCATTTGTTGTTTATGGGTACGAACATTTTTGCTGAGGACACGCCTTCAATGAATGCATAAGTTCATTGGATACTAACAAAATCACAACACAGAATTATTATAGTTGTAACATAATTATAACCAAGAAATGTAAATACAATAAAGTAATTCGTTATATTTGTACTGTAGTGTAACTCTCCGAAGAAAGTCACTTACTTTAACTAAAATAAAAAGGTATATAGCTCCAAAAATATTAATTTCCCGATGTACATATATTATAACCTCTTTTCATTATTCAACGAGTACCATTTAAGAATCATACTACCATCCAGCTTGTACAATCCATCCTTCCATTCATAAACCCTTCATCGGATTCACCTTGCAGCTCGACAACTCGCTGGAAAATTTAAGCGTAAGGGGTAAGATGGCTACCCGGGGAATACGAAAGGGGGGAGGAGGTGGATTGGGCGGGTTGAATTTCTGAGAAGCATGAAATTGCGACGATTACGCCGCGTCGTACCCGGGGCAAGAGTTATTTGCATTGGAATGCATCGTGCGGCTCGGTGGCCGAAACTCACCACGTGGGACGATCTACAAGGTGTCCTGATGAACGTGAGAAGCTGCCAGGACGGCGGCGGGCCGCGTGCCGTGCGAAAACGAGCCGAGTGAAATGGCCCGGAGGGTCCATCCACACCCGCCCCCGTCCCCCCTTAAGGGCTCGCGCATACATATGAACGAGGAAGACGTTGACGCGCCAATGCCCGGGAACGGACCCCTTGCGTTCCGTCATTTTCGTTCCTGCGCGGCGTGGAAGACATAATCGCATCCGCGCGTCCAGGTGAAGACGTTTCACGTCACCGTGGGCCGCAACGGATCGCGGACGTGTCAAAACGTCGTGCACCGTTATAGATCTTCCTCCCCAGAGATGGAGATCGTCACCGCTCTTTCATTAGTAAGTAGACTGAGGACCTTCATGCAAATTCAAATTTTTAAGGGCGCACGCAATGTCGAAAGTCTAAAACAAAATGACTGTATGCAGCTTTTTTCGGCTTGAGAGTTTGATAGAAACTGAGGCTTTTATGAGGGATGTTGGACATTTTGAATTAATTTGTATATCTTCTTTATTGCCAAAAAGTATAAATGGTAGATTTATAGAGTTACGCGACTTCGCGTTGGTCGAAACATCTATAAGGTGCATTCATTGGAAATTCCACTTCCTTAAGGGGTTTGAAGAATTTTTGGAAAATTCTTAAGCTGGAAGATTATCTTAATGGGATTTTGAAGTCTTAGGACTACTTACTGGCAACTTGATTTATAACCATGAGGGGTGGAACTCATGGTGGTATTTTT